AACAGCCAGTTTTAACAACAATCTCATGGTCGCTTTTACCAGAATTAGATTTTTGCCTTTGGCTTTTCAAAAACTGAATTCAAATTCTCAAACAGCCATGGTGGAATCTGAACTAATTTTCTCTGATGTATTAGTCTAAGCTTCTGGATTACTGCTCCAGCAAGAGAACTATTAAACTATTGAATCCTGTAACCTTAACACTGCAAAATTATGAAATTGTGTGCTTAAGGCTAACAAAAACCCTAAGTCACTGCTTAAATCTGAAATTCCAATACATCCTCCTAAAGGTGAAATGGCAATGCCTTATTCCCACATATCAGCCAGTTTATACTCTCCCAAAGCCTCTTGGCACCCAATCATCAAAACATTGACCATGTTCTATGACCTACACAATTCAGTATCAAATTGAGGGCACCTGTACATGTGGTCTTGCACCCATTAACTGTTCAAACTGCTCACTCACCTATTAAAAAAATGCAAGTTCAGAGTAAAATCTCTTCCTTCTGTTCACCAGGTGTAGACTTGAAGTGAGATAAATATTTCAATGCACAAACAGGTCAAAGATTTGGGCATCAAACTTTCAATTGCAGCAAAATGTTACATCTATGCCCTGTTTATTGTATAACTCAACTGCATAGAAAGATGCTTTAAAACAAAGTGAGGAGATCTAACACCTGCCTCTACTATTTCTCCCTTCACCATCCAAAATCCTGAAGACTCTTTCCAGGTAAGAACTGCATCATATGTACTTTTTGTCTCTCGATGTACCACTCACAACCTGGTCTCCTCCACAATGAGTGGACCAGCTGCAGATTGGGTATTGCTTTGCAGAACACCTCTATTCTGTCCGTAAGTATGACCCCAAGCTTCCCATGGCATATCATTTTAATTCTCCACCCTGCTCTCACAATGGTATCTCTATCCTTGGTCTGTTGCATTGTTCCAGTGAAGTTTCAACATAAGATTAAAGAACATTTCAACCTTCATTAGGCACTTTTCCACCTTTCTGAACTCAACATGGGAGTTCAAAAGTTTCAGCAACAGCCTCTGTCCTTTGTAAAATCCCTACAGTGTGGAAAAAGGTCATATGGCCCATTGAAACTGTCCTTCTGAAGAGATCCCACCCAAACCAGTAACTGCATTGACCATGGCAAATCCACCGAACATGCACATCTTTGGACTGTGGGAGGAAACTGGAGCACCCTTCAGAAACCCTGACAGCCATGGGGAGAGCATGCAAACTCCACAAAGACACACAGTTACTCAAGGCTGAAATTGAACCCAGGTCTCTGGTACAGTGAGGCAGTTCTAAGCATTGAGCATGGCATGGTAGCTCAATTTGTTTCCTTTTCTTTTCAGTCAATATTTCACCTTGTTTAGATACATTTGTTTCTCTTATCCCACCTCCATTCCCTTTTGTGCAGTTCAGTTCCCCCTATCTTCCATCCTACAGACATCCCTTTTGACTTTATCCCAACTACCTATTGTTCAAATCCCACTATTACATTTCTAAGCTTTCCCAGTTGATAGTTGTAAGCATGAAATGTAACTACTTTTCTCTCTAAACAGATGATTTCCAACCAAAGCTGCTTTCCCCCCAGCATTTTCTGTTTTTATTTCAGATTTCCAGCATCCGCATCTATTTTTCTTTGAAGAAACAGAGCAGTCTGGCAGTAGTGATACAAGCATAAGACAACAGAAAAAGTGTAATAAGAAAGGAAAGGCAAACTAGGAGAGCTAGAGGTGAGAGATGAGTGGCTAGAAAAGAAGGGTGTGAAAAATTGACAAACGGAGAATGTATCAGAGACAGAATCCAAACTTAAATGACATCTGAGAAATCAGGAAATAAGGTAGAAATAAAGATCAGAAGATAACTTTTGGACAATCACTACAGATTGAATGCTATATACCTGTACGAAACATTATTGGCTGTTTTGCCAATAATGGACCTTTCTGGGCTCCACCTGTGTTGGAGGTAGTTCATCTATTTAAAGACGTAAATACCAAATCTACTCAGATCAAATGTATTAATATTAAAACAAATGTGCCCGATTCTTCCTATTGCTTTGATAATGCCGTTTTGAAGTCACTTTTATGTTATAAATGAACAGCACCCACTGTGCACTACAACTGTTCTATATTATCAGCACGTTATTTTCATGAACACCATTCCAGGATCTGCTGCTGTATGCATGACAACAGTTATAAAAGTGCACAGCATAAAGACTTTAACTCGCCTTGTAAAATTTTCTCAAGTTCTCTTTTTGTGTCTGATTGATGACAGTCAGGACTCTTGCAATGGACTTCCGCACGACACGACTAAAGAGAGAGAAAGACAATTATAACACCAAATTATAAGCCTGGTCAAACTCAAACTAAAAGAGAGGTAAGATGTAAAAACAGTACCACTTTAGCTCACGTGGATCTCGCACTCCAAGACTTACTTCTTTGGGCTAAACTATGTGGTTCTGTATTGTAATTTAAGTGAATTTCTAAGTACTTTAGAAAGTCAGAGTGTCCCTTTGGAGCACCATATCATGCCTGCCAAATAGCAGTAAAATCATTCAAACCTCCAGAACACTGACTCACTATCAGCTGGACTCCAAACCTGTCCAAACGTTTGAGAAGATTTGTAGCACAGGTTGTGGATGAGGTTGTAGACTTGCTCGCCAAGCCAGTACATTTGATTGCAGACGTTTCATCACCCTGCTCGGTAACATAGTCAGTGCACCTCTGCCATGTTGTGTCTTTTTGTTATGGTTTGTTGCGGAGGTAACCACAGATTGTGCTTTTTGGGTATGCACTCCTTTTAAATACTCTGTATAAGTGCTCCTGGCCTGCTTTGTGCACAGACTACAACAAGAGGAGACAACATGGCCAGAAACACTCGTCATCCTACTATACATCAGAGACGTATCAGGGATGACCTCATGACTACTCAGACCCCTAAGTATCAGGGTACCCAAAAACTAACAACACCCTACGACAGTAAAGGATTCCATACCAACAACCAAGGAAACTAACGTAATATACGAAAATACCATGCAAGGACTGAGAAACATTACATAGGCCAAAGTGGAAGAAAACTGACAATAAGGATACACAAACACCCATTAGCCATCAAGAGGCACAACCAATTCTCACTAGTCTCCATACACACAGACAAAGAAGAACATAAATTCGACTGGGACAACTCATCCATAATAGCACAAGCCAAACAGTGACATGCCAGGGAATTCCTGGAGGCCTGGCATTCCAACCAGAACTCCATCAACAAACACACTGAACTGGACCGAACATACAATACACTGAGAAACAAAACCGGAAGTAACACCAAACACCCCAGCAAACCGAGGCATATAAATAACAAGCAGGACAGAACATCGATGCTTCACCAGAGGCGCACTGACGACGTTACCTAGCAGGGTGATGAAAAGTCTGCAATCAAACACACCGGCTCGGTGAGCAAGTCTCCAAACTCATCCAAACCTGTCCTTTCTAATAAGCGACATTTTAAAATCATTGGCATATTCAAAATATCTAATGCCTATATACTTACATTTTGGACAGTTTGGATGCAGCTCCTCCAGTTACTTTTGCCACACGGAGCTGAGAGAGTTCGACCTTGAGGTCATCCAACTGTTTCAGTAACTCCTCCTTTTTCTTGCCGCGCAGATCACGTGCCTTGATTTTTGCCTACATTTAATAAGAACCACCATGTTACTGTCACACAAACAACGTCTCCAATTGGACTCGATCAATAGTACACACATTCGAAAACGGAAGACAATACAAGTAGCTGTTAATGCTATACGGAGCAGGAGTTGGTCCTTCAACTTATCAGGTTTTTCAGCTAGATCTTTGCTAACTTGTACCTTAACTCCATTTAGCAGTTTCTAATCCAGATAACCTATAAGCAAAAATTTATTAATCTAAGAATTTTGATTGACCCAACCAGTACAGCTTTAGAGGCAGAGTTCCAGATTCACAGTACCAATAAAAGCCCTAATTACAATGTCATAATGTGCACTGTATAGCAACTTTAACAAGTGAAATATCTCAAGGCATTTCCAGGGGCTTCACAAAACCAAGATTTGGTATTGAGTGACATCAGACAATGTTAGAGTAAAGGGCCAAAAGATTGGTCAAAGAGGTAAGGTGTAAGAGGTGCTGCAAAGGAAGAGTGGAAGAGAGATGAGAGTGTGTAGGATGGCTGCTTTTGTTGTTGAGGGTGCAAATTCCAGAGCTC